CTTTCTGATATGCTGCAGGGATCGTGATGAGTTTCTGGATGACAGAAGCTAGACGCTCGCGGTAATAATCCCAGTCTAGAACTGACCGAATATCCATCTCCCCTGGATCGTCTCGCAACCACTTCCTCAGAAAGTATCGCTTTACTGATTCCTCGGCCGAAAAGATGGACAAGGGAACGGCGCGTTCGGTAACAGGCGCATTTCTTGGTGTCTTGGAGATAATGTACTTGCAGTTCAGTCCCTTGTCTTTTACCATTTGCTCGCCGAGAAACTCGGCCAGACGCTTAGCGGTTGTGATAGCGGTTGACTTTTGCGATCCGTACTCCTCCAGTGTCTTTGTCATGTTTTTGTTCTCGACGATAAGATCAATTAGCTCCTCGTCAGCCAAAGTTGCTCCGCGTGTATCCAGAATATCAAGCCACCTGTTCGCTACTCTGGCAACAGCACCGTAGGTCTCTTCAAGAGTGGTGCCTTCCAAGAAAAACTTGAAAATCTGACCTTGGAAGTTCTTGATCAGCTTCAGCTCACCACGACGCTTCACTTCGAAACCTTTCAATTCTGCTAAACTACCATCATGATTGAACACAGCATAACGCTTTTTCAAGTTCTTGTCCTCTTCTTTCGAAGTCGGCAAGATCATAGCCTTGTAAGGGCCATCAACTTCGAAGAAGATGGAGTTATCGCTGTGCTTCTCATATCGGAAATTCACAGGGTCTACCAACGTCTCGTACTGGTGGTTGGTGTACTGCGCATGTACTAGATGGTTCAACATGGTACATGGATAAGAGATGGTTAGTTTCTTGCCATTGCTGAGCTTGAAAGAAAAGTTTTCTGGGAAAGTCGCTGGTAGGATGGCCCAAATACCATCGGTATCCAATTCCAGGGGTCGGCCGATACGTTCGACAAGGGAACGCGCCAACTGAATGATGCGAGCACCAGTCAAACAGGTAACGCCAGCCATCTCCAGAGAGTACCAGCGTGACCCCTTTCGCATGACATATCCATAGAAGGAGTTCAGAATAACTTTGTGGGCCAGTTGCATGGAATCGAACAAGACAATCATCTTCTTCGCGTCTTCAATCTCAGCTGCTGGGGCACCCGCTGCCTTCAACGCTTCTGTCTTGCCTTTCCAAACCTTTTGCTTGCCCTTGAAGTCATACCGTCGGTCACGGAAACCGCTGACAGTATCAACATAGAATGGGTTTTCACGCTGACAGATGATGGCCTCGCGCTCGATTGTCGTCGCATCGTGAACCTTGTGGTAGATCTTCTTAGAGTAGTCCGTCAAGCGTTTTCTGACTAGAGCGGCCTGCTCGTCTTCTGAGAGCTCTTGAAACGACCGCTTTGGCGAGTTGGGAAATCTTCCAGGGAATTGTTCGTTCTCCAGTGCATTGCGAACCATGTTGTACTCATCGCGTTTAGCTGGGAGATATTCACCTCTCCAGGCCCATGGCATCCGACGATCGCATGTCTTTCCAGGGCGGTTAAAGTCACAAGCCGCGCAATTGGACTCGTTGATCATGGAGTCGGGTTGCAACCTGTAAGTTGTCATGATGTTCGGATACATAGACGCAACATCCAAGTGGTAGATAAGAGGTCGCTCGCTACGATTTGGTGTGTTCTTGAGCTGCATCAGCTTGTCGACAATCTCAGCCCTGACCTCATCGTAATTGGTAACATCCTCCATCTTTTTCTTCTCTTCCACCTCAATACTGAACTTGAGCGCAGCATCAAGATCACCGACCAATTCATCGATAGCGGTAGGATCCACTGCAAAATTGTACGCAATGTCGCTTCGAAACACGCCAGCTTCGAGAGCTTCGACGTGACCTCCGACATAAGTCTCCGATTCAAGTAGATGGCCATTCCAGAATGCTTCTTTTGGCGCTTGATGTTTATTTGGTAATACAATGCCCTTCTGGTACGCTTGCACCATCAACAACATCTCACAGAGAGTACCCGTACCCTTACGTAGCGCATCGTCCGGTCCAAGGGGCAAGATTTTGCACAACGCGAAAATGAAGGGGTGGACATATTTCATGTACAGGTAGTAGGTTGCGACGGCATCGGAAACGGAGTATTCGGCAAGAGTCTGAGGTCGCTCGGCTGCGTAAGGCGTCATGAGTTCAGGGTCGAGCTCGTCTGGATCGTATCCCAGTTTGGCCATTGTGACAGCTTTCAAACCACGACTACCTTGTGGAAGATAACTGTCTCGACTGACCCAAGCAAACGCGTCCATATGTGCGCAGTAGTCCGACTGATAAATGTCCTCGCTGTTCTTCCTGAACCCGATTTCTTGGTACATATCGATACCTTGAACGCTGGCTCTTGCCTCCACAAAAGGCCAATCGAAGAAGTCTCCGTTGTACGTGACCATGACTGTAGGTTTGGCTATTTTTATGTGTTCGAAAAATCGTTCTAGCAGGGCCTTTTCGTCTGGTTCGTTGAAAATCATGAACGGTCCGTGGTATTCTGGTTTCGGCGTATATTCGAAATCTTGGATATCTTCTGAGACAATCTCGCGGTTCGTAATCAGAAATCCCTGGCCGTCAATCATGTACGATATCATCATGATCTGGTCAATGGCCGCGTCGGGAAACTTCAATGGGAGCTTCGTCGTTTCGATATCGTAGGCCATTACCACAGGATCCGCAGGTGTCAGGCGATCCTCTACACACGTCATGCTCACTACGCCATGTTTGGCCTCGACTGTGTACCAGTTTCCAATTCGAACGTCCTTGTCGATTGCTACTCGCACGTGGTAGGGAACGTCATATTCCCGAATATCTACAATGAAATCGCTTGCATCAACGGTAGTCGTAAGTCGTTTCTCGTACTCATAATCTTCATTATCGAAAAAATCAAAGTTGGCATTGCCACTGGATAGTGTTAGCGATGCGTCATATGAAAAGCGAGTCGCACTTACTTGGCCACCTCGGCGTAGGTATCCATGGCGTTGATGTTCTTTTTGTTCTTCTCTACTATCGGAGCAACGCCTTTCCGCACAGCAAGAAGATCGTTGACGTTCGCGAAGGTAAGCATTAGAAATTTTCTTCGGTACCCAGTAAGATGGTTTGGCATGCTCAAGTCTTCTTTCTCTATGATCTTCACCGTCTTGACCAGGCCCTCGTATGCCCTTTTACAATATTCCTCCACGTCCTGTTCCCTCCCCTTCTTGACCGCCAGCAGAAAGTATGGGTCGTATTCGAGGGTTGCTTTGAATGTGTCGCCTTCCTCGCCAATGAAGTAGAAGTCAACACCAGCTCTGCCACCCGGGACATCTTCGTCTTCGACTGTTGTCGAGTGCATATTGACGAGCCATCCCACTCTCTTCTTCCCCGAATCGAAACGTGCGAAGCCCATAGTCTCATCGATGCGGTGTGCCAGGCGTGTAGATTCCAGCTTTTCGTTCTGTGAAGTAGCCTCTCCACTTCGTAATGTCGAGGCGTCAACCGTCTTGGGCTTGCGTGGGCCGTAGGATGCGTTTCCATTCTTGCCTACCCGGCGAAAGGGCTGGCCTGCGCGTCGGGGCGCCATACTGTGTGGTGGGGGTGCAAGGTAAGAGAGTATTAAATGCTAATTATGAGAAATATGCAAAACAGGGTATCATAGGTATGGCGGAAAGACAGAAGAGACGGAGAATCGGCAATTGGTAGGGAGCGTTTGGTGCGCAGGGACTGGGAGTGTTGAAGGGCGGATGTGGATCTGCAAATGTCAAGCGCGACGCGTTGGAGCGTGTTGCGCGCTATCCCTTTCCCGGCAAATTGATTTTCAGCCACACTTTGTGGCTGTGCATATATCGTGGAATCATGGATGCTGGATATTTTCGGCCCTATTCCGCACCACCAGAAAGTGAGCAACCGACATCTTCCTCCCGCACCGAATGCGCCTATAGCAACTGCAAAATCTACGTCATACCTCGATTCGAAGCATCTACCTAACAACGCCCAATTACACTCGCCTGCACCATACCAACAGCCTGTTTCTCGCCCCACCATGTCTGAAGATTCGAGGTCGACGGTTGACATAAATGCGCTTCCACCAAAGCCCCGCGCGCCTGCAAATGTTATGCCCGGCGGTACAGCGCATACAGCAGGCGGTGAAAAGACATCAGATGCTGGTCCTACATACATCGACGCAGTACGAAGTCTAGGGCCAGAATATTACTTCAACTTTCACAAGCGACCGTGTGTACGAGACAGTCAATTGCAAGGGTTGACAGCTGGCTTTGCAGGAGGAAGCTTAGCAGCTATAATAGGCAGTATGTCAAGACTGCTCAGGCTGGCACTCAGCGAAGGTTAGGTGGGACACAATGCTAACTTCGGAACAGAACCCGTCATCACAGCTTCAAACTGGGCCGTGGCAACTTGGTGTGGTGTTTCTGTCGTTTCCTATCAAGTATGCCAATACTACCGTTCTAAAGAAAAAGCCGGAATAAAACAAGCACAAGAACTCATGGAGAAGAAGCGCGCGAGTATCGAGGCCAAAAAGGAAGCCAGGCGGAAGGCGCGAGAGGAACAAGACCGGTTGGAGAGGGAGCAAAGGGCAGAAGAAGAAAGGAGAAGAAGCTGGGGATATTGGTACCAGAAGAATATCAAGTTTTGGTAGCATATACCGGGATGTAAGATATCAAGAGTGACGGACGCTGGGCACAGCATATGTATAAGAATGTGTATAATATGAAACATGATACGAGGAAAATGGCTTGGGTGAATTATTCGGAGGATTCGATATGTATCTAACCATTGCCAAAGAACCATTCATCGATAACCCATAAAAGTTTCAAGTCACAACCTATCGAACAAACAGCATCAGCTTCGACAAGAGGAGCATACATGAGTACTAGATGTTACCGCCCCCACGTTCTCTCCTGGTTGTCGCTACAGAACTCCTGACCCACGGCGTGGCATCACATTGTGTATCATTAACGTTCCTTCACTGGCGGTCTTTTCCAACCCCAGTTAAGATGGATTACACCACCGAAGCATCGAATATCCACGAAAGAAAAGTAGGTGCAAAGTATAAGCCCAAGTAACCACACTTGCAGCAATGAGCTGTGTAAGTAGTCAATGCGACACTCGGCCAGCATTCCAAATCGGCGGCCCAGTGCAGAACAATTATTGCACGGCATAAGCCTCGATATGGAGCAAAGGCTCTAGAAGGTTGGCAGCAACGCAGATCTTGTCACAAAAGCCGACTTCTCCGCCAATACGTGAAGACACCATTGAGGACTCCTCTGCTAATCGTTTGATATCCGGCCAATATTTGGTGCTTAGCGCGCTTCGCGCCATATCCTCACAATCACCAACTTCTCCCAGCCTGCTTTCTTGCCGCTCGATCCTACAGTCTCTGCCATCCATCCTGCGCCCCATTCTCTTATCCGCTGCTTGACTAGTTCGGGGTTGTTTTGTGCACACAACAGTAGGTAGGCAACTCCTCTATCTGCACTCAGTATATCCGGAATCTGCTCAAGCATCCTGTTCGTTACCATCATACCATCTTCACCTCCGGCGTAGGATAGCTCCAAAAGGTATGAGTCTTGCTCAAATGAGGTGGCTTTTTTCCCCTCTGGGATCACATTGTACTTCTCGTGACTCGACAGATCAGGCAGTTCAGCTGGTACATATGGTGGGTTGAAGATGAAAACATCGACAGAACCTGGACGAATTGCATTCGCCAAATCGCCATTCACAATATCCATGAAAACCGAGCGTTCCTTTTCTCTTTCTTGGATTGCATTTTGAACAGTGTGGGCAGCAGCGTTGCAGGCGAAGCTGTTGATATCAACTCCAAGCGTCAGTGCGTCATGCCGACCAAAAATAGTTTGCGCATTCGCAGCAACAAATGCTAGTACAACCCCTGATCCTACGCCCACTTCGAGCACACACTTAGCGACATGGTAATGCTGGATACTGTTGGTATGACAATACCTTCGAGCACCAGCGGCGGGGTTGAAGACGCATCACCAAATCGATCCTTTAGATATGTGGTTTCTGATGCAGATGAAATTGTGTCGAGCAGCAAGTATGAGTCTTCAGCCGGTTCGTAGACGCGATCGAAACAAACGTGCGATGTCGAGGGCGTGGGCAGCATAGTTGTGATTTTGTTTCCGGATCGGAGGTGTGGCGTGTGGGCCAATTGGAATGGAAGGAGATCTGGAGCACTCTAGTCTAGAAAGCCGAGGCTGAGGTCATCACTTCTTCAATGCATCCCATTTCTTTTACCGCAACGCCCTACATATTGTTTTTGTACGAGTTTTGCCAGAATGAGAGCTGGTATACGATTGTTAGCGACCGCAACAGATGCAGGTGCATCGAGACCCTTCAAGCCGGCACCTGCGGCTTTGTTGCCGCCAATACCACTCTACCGGCGCCTGCTAAGGTCACATCGAAAGAGGCTAGGCCCAGAGGAACGTCTGCTGGGTGACATGTATGTGAAGGCCGAGTTCAGAGCTCACAGGGACGTCGAGAATCCCGTGCAAATTGTGAGTTAGGCTATCTTCACAAAAGACGCACCGCAAGGCCAGTAAGCTTACATTCATAGATCGGCTTTTTGTCTGAGTGGCAAACATATTGTCAGATGCTTGAAGGAGATTCATGGAAAGACGCAAAGATGGACAAAGCAAAGATTGATAAAATGAGCGGCATGTACTAGCCCTCTCTGCATAAGGCTATCCTAACTGAATCCTAGATCAACAAATCGGCCAGCTGTATGAGCTAATGCAGCAGATTAAGAACCAGGCAAAGGAAGACGCTGATGCCAAAGACGCGAGAGTAGTGGAAATGCTTGACAAGAAGCCTCCAACGGACCAGTGATTGCGAAAGATTGAATTATGCCAAGCATCGACCGTTCCAAGACAAACGCTAGAAACTTAACACCTCAAAACGGGGGCGTAAACAGCACGCAATCATCTTCCATTTTCTCGCATCTAGAGAGATGCATTATATATCAGCAATATCATTACAATATCCGACACCTCTGCGTCCGTTCCTCCATCACTCCTTGACTGCTATCCGGGGGCGCCAACGATATCACTGTCTCGAGGCCTAGTTCATTGCCTACATGAATGACTGCTGGTGTTTTTATATCCGTACAGCATCTTGCCTGATCCCGAAGAAGCATCTGCACATAAAAACTCGACCAAATATCACCCAAAGCTTTTTGAGACATCGAGCTTGGAGATATCTAGGATGTGTGGCTGTACCCTCTATGACTCACCGACATGCGGTCACTCCTGGCTTTCTATGAGCCAGCCCTGTGGCTTTCTCTCCGATTTCCTCAACTGTCCCTATCGCCAGACTTACCAGACTCTGATTGCACCACCGTACACATGTCCAACGTGCAATGGCGGTTTTGCAGACCAAGAAACAATCGAAATGGTCCAGGGCCCTTGGGGTTGTAATCAGTTACTTCGAAATCATGTTGGGGGTAATCATGCAATTCCAGGTCAATGGGGTAATGTTCAACTGGCTCTAAGTGGACCAGGAGGCGCTGCGATTAGTTGTGTTGCAACAGCTGGCAGTGCGACTCATCTATACAACATGAGACAAGGCTTCACACACGATTATAGGCTTTCAGGGCCATATGGAGCAGCGATCATTCCGAATAGACCGAGACACTACGACAATGGGTGTTATGTGGACGGCAGGCGCAAGAGAAGCAGGCATAAAAGTCATTACAAGTACAAGTATACTGAAAAGCCTGCAACAAACTGCACAGTTATGTGAGGGCTTTTTACGGTAGAGGATGAGGGCACAAGCTTATTCGGAGAGTCATCGTTAGCTAGTTCAGCTCAGCGAAATGGGTCCTGCACTGGTGCGCAGAAGCAGATTTGGACCAGCGGTCATTCGGTGCGAATGCTAGATTGCTTTCAACAGCAAGCACATGTGGAAACCAAAATTTCTCCGAATAAAAATTGATTCCCTTCATCTTGACGATTACTTTTGTCTGAAATAGCCACATTGAGTTGTTGGTGGTGGTATCGTGATCTGAAGGCGGTCGATGCTGGGAGCCGCGCTAAGAGTTGCTAGCGCGGTTTTCTACTCGCTAAACACCACAGTGGAAATTCGTGGCTCAGAACCTCAGCTCTTCGACAATACCACACAGCCAAATCGACATCCACAACCGTCGCCATGGCCAGTACGTTGACGAAGCCTCGCGATGGAGCGTACGACAAGACTAACACAGCTGCGCAGAATCCAAGAACTCGTCTCAGCACAATCAGTCCAAGAAGAACCACCGAAACGGGTACGCATCCCTTACTACGGTTGCACGCGCGCCATAACCCCCCAAATGGCCCATCCATCTCGTTGGATCGAACACTTGTCAATGAATGAATCTGAGAGCAACGACTGATTGATTACATTACAGTATCAAGAAGCCTAAGACCCACCGTTACCCTTCGCTCAAGGGAACCGACCCCAAGTTCAGGAGGAACCACAGGCATGCGCTTCACGGCACCATGCGCGCTCTGGTGCGTAGCAATAATGCACTGCACGAGGTCAGCTTCGGCCTGCTAACATCTGCACAGAAGGAGGTTAAGGAGGGCAAGCGCGAGAGCGCATAAAGGCCGACACGATTACGAGCGAGCGACGATGGCGGTTTTCGATTCCTTTATGAGACATCTGGTCGGCGTCAATGGCATTCGGACTTTCTTTGACAGCTTCGAACTCAAGGGATGGAAGCATGTGGCTTCACGCCTACCGCAGGCATGAACAATGAATAAGTCGAAAAGTCAGCTCGGTTCTCCCAGCGCGCGCCTATCCATGTGATGTGTTACATTGGCCGACCCTTGGACAACGTAAAGCCAGGTAAGTGAGATGAGTGACCGAGGTGCAAACCTCAACCCAGCCATTAGTGTGTACAGCAACAGAGCTCTTCAATGCTCGACCTGCTGAAGGAAAATTATCGTGGCAAGAACAACTTACCCCATCATTACCAAACACACCGCCTTTGACCCGTAGGGCACGTGTGCATGAAGATGGGGTTACATTATTTCTGGCTCAGAACAGCTTTTACAAGTAAAGATGGTACCGAGAGGTATCGTACGAAGACTCAATATTAATATGAAACATGATTTACTTTCTGACCCTTTGACATTGCTTGTTGAGGTAATGACGATTTTCCAAGCGCGTGTATTGCCGAACAGGTGGGGCAGCCGAGTGACCTCGACATCTACTCTTCTTCTCACGTCCTCCCATCCCGCCATCCCCCCGTCCCTGCTGACCCTCTAGAGTCGATGCAAGAGCGTCAAGACTGTACACCAACGATAACACGCTCCTCACGCTCTTGCACGTCTCACCAAAGAGGTAGGCCAGCCGAGTCCGTTCCGATTCCCGGTCTGGTTGCACAGCCCTCTCGCAGCCCGATTAGCTAGCACCTGCCTCGTACCTTGGGATCTCACCATCATACCTTGCTTCTTTCTGTCGCAAATAAATTTGCAGTCTGTTCATTCTCTCACTTTTGCTATTGTTCTCTTCCAAATCGCCTACCTCTTGTTCCTACGCCCGCTCTTACGTCACGCCTTGAAAACAACATACACCATGGCGACCCAAGTCCACTGCGCATACTGCTTTGAAAGCCTGGTTGCGAGCCTCGAGAAGCGGCCCGCCCTGAGCCTGGCCCAAACCGAAGTCATGTGGAGAAAATCAAACGCTGGGATGGAAGATGAACCCGTTGAAGCAGCAGGCGCATTGTTGAAGCCCGCTGCTGTATCACGTATCCTGGCCTCGCCATCTTCATCAAGCAGCTCCTCAAGTCTGCCAAGTGCGAGTTCTACGCCTAGTGGAGCTAGCAGCAGTGAAACAAACAGCAGCATTACAAGCCAAAACAGCAGCACAACCAACCTAGATGATAAGGCGACGAGACAAGAGCAAGACTCAGACTATGACGAAGAGGAAGAAGAAGAACACCCCTTGTTCGTGACCTGGAACACCATCTCGCCAGGAAGCCACGAAAGGCGACTTCGCGGCTGCATCGGCACTTTTGAGCCCCTCTCCCTCTCCACAGGCCTTTCTTCATACGCCCTCACCTCTGCCTTTGACGACACACGCTTCCCGCCCATTACTAAGCAGGAACTCCCATCTCTCGAGTGCGCAGTTACGCTCCTCACGCACTTTGAGCCCGTCGACGATCCCATGGACTGGGAGGTCGGCGTCCACGGTCTGCGCATCAGTTTCACGGACAAGGGCCGCCGCTACGGCAGCACGTACTTGCCTGATGTGGCGCGCGAGCAAGGTTGGAGCAAGGAAGAAACGATTGTCAGTCTGATGCGCAAGGCGGGGTGGGGTGGCCGCAAGAGCGAGTGGAGGGCTGTCAAGATCAAGGTCGTGAGGTATCAAGGGAAGAAGGTTAGTCTTGCGTGGGATGAGTGGAAGGCATGGCGGGATGAGGTCGATGAGCAGATGAAATATGCTCATTGATTGCGGTAATGAGGTTAGAGAGTTTAATGCAGAGCAGTATTGGCTTCATGAACTTTTTCTTTTTTTGCTTAGACAGTATCTCTTTTCTGGCATTTTATACTTTCACTTCTCTTTTGGGCATTGGTATAGAGGCTTCATCCATGCGTACACATTCTAGATCATACGACTCTGGTGACTATATACTGGATTGTGGATAGAACAGTATTACACGACGATTACCAACCGAGCTGGGCAGCGGAACACGCCGATACGAATACGACAAATCAAAGAAGTAGAATTATGCGTATTGACAAGTGCCCCTGGCCGATATCGGCACATGATGGAAAAAACGATGCGATTCCGTTTTGTAGTTTCTTCCTTGTGGAAAAGAAACGCTTCAATTAATAAAAAAAAGTATGGGTTCTGCCTCGTTACGAGAAAAAAAAGGCAATACAACGCTCGTAAGAGAAACGCTCTTTAGTCGTCATGACGAGTGATAGGCTATCCCTCATGTCACGCCATCACGTAACATATACACTTGCAATCACAAGTGCACACAATGGTTTGATTATTGACATTTTTATTAATTCTCTGCGTCTTTATTTCGTTACCCGCATCTCCTTATTCAAAAGGGGTGCTAGGGGTATCATTATACCAAAATATCCTTCCAAATGCTGTAGTCATTACCAATACAACAGCCGTTTAATTCTTTCTTTCCCTTGTGCATTCTCCACATCATTCACATACATCTACATGACGTAGAGGAGGTCCGTGTCTGTTGTACCAGTCAGCATGTCTCCTCGGTTAACCGTTAGGGCTACAAGACCTACTGAGCGGATGACTACAGCTTAATTGGGGTTTCTGTTGGTATTTGCCCTCGAGCTCGTCACGGATGCTGTTGAGCAGCTGTACATAGCTCTGGTTGGGGTTCTTGCGCAGTGAAGTAATAAAGGCCCATGACATGGCTCCTGTGGCCTCACCGCCAATACTTGCATCGGCTCTGTTTGTTCAAGTCAGTATTCTGTGTCATGTACTCATCATGACGGCACGAAACTTACGAAGTTTGGGTATCCTTGGACCCACTCCACATAATGACATCAGCGGGACTGGTCTTTGTCCTTAGGTTCTTTTTGTACACCTCATCACCATTAATCGCCTTCTTGAACAAAGTGGTGGCGCTGCCAATCATGCTGCCAATATCACCGCGCGCATAACTCGATACAATGCCGAGCAATCCCTGGCCGGCTTCCTTGGCCAGGTTTGGCTCCTTGAGCACACCCTGGGTAGAGTAGATGTATGGGAGGTCGAGGGCGGAACCGGAGTGGCAGGAATCGAAAATGGCGGTCAGTCGGACTCCGGGTTGGAGAGATGCAACCATGATACGGTGCATCTCATCATCGACAATGTGGCCAGCAGTGCGGAAGTCTACTGGGTAAATTACTTCATCGTAGCCGTCGTCCTCGTCACCGTCAAGGTCCTTTGTTTGACCGCCGTGTCCTGCATGAATGTTAGTATGTTGTGGTTGGATTTGCCGAATTAAGCGCAACGCACCTGAGTAGTGGAAGAACAATGAATCGTTTGGCCGTGCATCCTTGACCAACCAGTGCATCGCTCGTAGTATGTTCGCCTTGGTCGGCTGGCTCATAGGGTTTTGCTGGTCATCGGTCAAAGTGACCATGTCCTCTCGCTTGTATCCAAAGAACTCGTTCAAGTATGTACTCATGTTCTTAACATCATTGATACATCCTCGAAGCTGGCCTCGCTGGCCAAAATAGTTGATACCAATTAACAGCGCTTTCCTCCGACCGTTGCATGCCGAGTATTGGTATGAGTAACCGTTGGGCGCACCATGACCGAAGTTTTGAGCGCCGCTGGGCGGTGGAGGAGGGGCAGAATGGTTTCCGTGTGTCCATTGATTGCTGTTGACTGTGGGCATCATGCCTGTATGCGACTGTCAGTTCTACCGTCTTGGTCCGGGTAGACTGGGAACTTGCCTGGCCGTGGAGGCTGCTGCGGAGGCTGTTGCGGGGGTGGGCCTCCATAGTTTCCGTATTGCTGTGGTGGTGGTCCCTATGCTTATCAGTGTGTTTCTTCGGTTTCAATCTCAATATCCAATGTCCAATATCCAAATCCAAATCCAAAATCCACTGTGGCTCTTGGTGTCTTCGCGACCAAGTGCTATACGTACCTGGTTGTATCCGTATTGCTGCGGCGGAGGAGTAGGCTGTCCGTAGTTGTTGTATCCTCCGTACTGCTGTGGAGGCCTGAATACGTCAGCGGATTGTCGAAGAGCAGTTAGTTGGTGCCCACTCACGGAGGGCCGCCGTAGTTCTGCTGTGGCGGTGGATATCCTTGTGGGGGAGGTCCGCCATAGCCACCTTGAGGCGGTGGTGCGCCGTAGCCACCACCACCGCCGTGATACTGCTGTCCGGGATAATACGACATGGCGAACTAAGAGGAGGTGGAGAGTGGAAGTCTGGCGTGTCGCAGTTCTGGTAGAGCGATCGTCGAGGAAATGCCCGATTGGGGAGGATGGTGGTCAATGGTTAAAGAGGGATCGCCGCGGTGGGGGATGCTAGGTTGAGCGGGAAATGAAGAGGGTAGGGTGAGCCAGAGAAAGTCGCAAGATGTAAGGTGGTGTGCGGCTGACGGTTCGGTCGGCAGATGATCTTGGAGTGGATACGTAGGTAGCGCGGGGCGGCGGGCTTGGTCTTTTGCTGGTACGAACACAGTAGGTAGGGATGGGATGAATGGCTAGGTAAGGCCTGAGCTCTGACCAGCACCGACCCGAATTATTAACAAGCTTCCAAACCCCCTGGACCAACTCGAGACATGAACACACACATGTATCTTGGCAGCTTAACTCCGGTGAAGAAGCCGAGGGGAGGCGGCAAGAGGAGCAGGATGAGGAAGAGCAAGGAGCAACAAGCAACAAACATATACTACCGCGCCACGACCATCGCCTGACGAGCACAACATCTCGGTCCAGGGACATGAATTCCATAGCCACCCGACGACATGCAGTAGGCCCACGGCGCTTCCTCCCCTGCTGCAAGATGCGACTTGACTTGCATGCCGCTATCTCCAGTCCCATCTACCTGCAGTAACTAGCCATGCTGTAAGATGTACTCCAACCTCGATCCGCCAGAGCGACCGAAACAAGCATAGCCAACGACTTGCAATGTTTCACTATCAATTGGCCTACCGACCTTGTATTCTACTACCATTGCTCTCTCTCTCTCTCTCTCTCCAACACTGGTAGACTACGTAGACTACGCCCATGTCATGTCCAACGTCCCGTCGCTCGACCCAAAAAAAACACCTTCAATCCAGCGCGATCCTACGTGTCTGTCACCATCTACAAGTCCATGCCCCAGTGCCGTGTCTTATTCGACCTCTGCATTGTCATTCGTCCACTACCACGGTCTGCTTAATTTACATTCGTGGTGTGTGTGTGCATTGGGCCGCTGTCAAGCCTCCTTGTGGCTTGACGTCGTGGCACAAGGCGGAGCAGACGGCATCGCCGACGAGCTCCAAGCGAGCTTTCCGTAGGAACGGTTCTGGAAAGCCGAGGGTGGGTTGTGTTGCTTAACGTTTACCGACTCGGTGGGTAGCACGCAACTGGAGTGTTACTGTAGACATCGAGTCGTGTTCTACCAAAGCACCCAAACTTTCCCACTCCTTCTCGCAACCCTCCTCTCAAATCCCCTCCACCCACAAAACCTTACAATTTCCATCGGCCCTTCTTTCCTCTCGTCCCTCGTCCTACACCGACGTCTATTTCCGTTTGCCTATTTCCGTTCCCCCTAGTCGATTCCAACCCTTCGTAGCGATGCCTCTGACCCCCTGTCCCTGCTACATTTCCATTTCCGCTTACAGATACCCGCATACACAACACACCCTTTCAGCCCACCTCCAGTTCCCAATCCGTCCACCAACCCCCCATGCCAACTCACCTTCTTCATCCAGCCCTTTTGCAAACACACGCTCTCATCCGGCCAAATCCAACTGCCGCATACCCTTCCTGCGCTCTAGCTCCATCCAGAAAGCCTCTTCTAGGACGGCGCTAAAAGGGTCCAGCCCGTCTAGTGGCTTGCGCTGCCTGTTCGACGCCAACGGCGAGGGCCGAGGGCTCGGACACGTTTGATTGGGACGTTTTTTCTTGCCCTGTACGAGTTCGTCCCCGTGGATGCATGATGCCTCTGTTTGAACCATCGTAGCTGAATGATTAGTCTTAAGCTAGTATAGCTGAGCGTTGCAATGTGCCCTACGCGATGCACTTGACCGACGGCGTCGGTATAACCTACAGCCTACTAATGCAGTCATCCATCGTTTTTAGATCATAGACATGTCAGAGACGTCTTGGGTATCACATCCAGCTGTCAAGCGCGCGGGGAGTGGCTGTAATCATATGGGTCTCGCAACATGGGGTATATAGTATTCGAACAAAGCTTCTCTCGTCCCTATTGCCCAATTCCGCGTCCATATGAATAAACGCTCAAACCAAACAGTACGAAAAATAGATACCATATATGCACCATCAACTTTCCCGAGTCCGACGCAATGCTAAAAAAACAGCAACCAAAAAAGAAACATGGGGTCGGCGTCTCAATTCTAACAACTCTAACGATCATTGTACGCAATCGCTTGAGAAAAAAAAAGCGGCAAAGAAAAGGTAGAAAGCGAAGAGAAACAAAAAGGAGAAAAAGGAGAAGAGAAGAAGAAAAACGTATCGAAACGTACAAAATCGTACATATTACATTAAAGTGTTAAGGGGCTTCAAGCCACTGAATGCGGGCGCTGTTGTCTCAAGCTCGGTCGCGACGAATGGAGAAGTCGCAAACGTCGTACTGTGCACCTTAAAGGGGTAACTGTTCATAACAAAGATTAATCATCAGTATGCACAAAACCACGTGGTAATGGTTATCATGCATGTGAAAGTGTAGAGGGGGCAGTCAGGGCAGGACTGGGTGAGGTTTCAGGTGGACAAGGCTTGGAGGCTTCATTCGCACCATCATCCTCATTGGATTTGCCACTCGACTCTCCATCCTTGTTCGTCTCGTCCGCTTCTGCTTCGCGAGCTTCGCGCTCGGCATAGATCTTCTGTTTCTGGGCCTGTGCATTGGCTAGAGTGTCAATGTATGTTCGGAACTTGACGATTTCCCGGAGAAGGTACTGCGACTTGCGCTCCCAGTTGGCCATGGCTTTTGCCGCATTGGGATGGCGAGGTGAGAACTGGTTTTGTTAGTCAGCAGCAGCTCCAAATACAGAAAAGGTTAAGACTTACCGCTATGAGCAAAGGCGCTCTCAATTCGTTGTGATGGGACAGCTCGCTCTCAATATTCTTTACGTAATCAGTCAAGGCTCTGAGCTGATCCACTTCCATAAGAGTGCTGGCCATCATGCTCGACGCCGGTGGGCTCCAGTCAGAGAGGACAACCTTATCACCAGGAAGCCTGGGTTTGGGCGCGCCAGTGGCATGGTCCATCGAACTACGAAGGGAGCTTGTGACACTCGGACGAGGCATGTGCCCCTGCACCGACGGTGTGCTGTCCCGTCGGATCAAGGCTGGGTTGATGACGTTCTCGCCCCAGCCATACTCCATGCTGCTGACACCACCAGTCAAGGGCTCCTTGGAGAGACGGGCAGACCAGTAGTTGACAGTACACACAAACTCCCGGCAAATGTCAGGGGTTCCGACTTGGAACAAATGGACGGCACCGTTGGGAAGTGAAAGAGCGAAAACATGTGGCCTAGTCTTCGAGTATCCAGGAGGTGGTAGTGCGCTCGCAATCGTCTGTCGGAGTTGAAAACTGTCCAGGGCCTCGGCATTGTCCATCCAGTTACCACCACCTACGACACCACCAGTTGATGGTTTCGCTTTGCTCTTCTGTCTCGCTGCCTTAGAATTCATGCTGAAAGAAAACAGGCGCATACAGCCCTTCTCAACCACTGCAAAGCACTCGTTCCAAGTACGGTCTTTAGCTTTCCGACCCACTGTTTCGAGGTGTCGTTTGTGCTTAAGAATACCTTCTTTCGCCCATGGCGCTCCAACAAGCTCAAGAGTCTCATCTTCCAAGAGAGGAGCGACACGAGAGAACTCTTCGTCGCTGGCAATAGTCATGCCTTCCTCACGAATAATGGCCTGGCTAAGAGCATTGGCAAAGCCAATAGCTTGCTGGTAATCGCCATGCGCGAAATGAGAGCCAAGTGAATCCACTGACATTGACGTACCGGTCTTTCCGTACGAGTACCGACTCCAAGTGCTGGAGCCAGCAGGGCTCCATACAGATTGATCGTCCAGACTTGTGCGGCTTGATGCGACAGTAGACGAAGGGTACAGTCTCTGTTTTGAGCGGTTCTTAGAAGCCCAGCGGTTGCCCATACTACGCAAATCATTCTGTGATCTGCCTCGGTAACTAGTGTTGTCCGAAGGTGCTTTGCTAAGCACACTTGGGGTCCGACGTAGCATCCCAGTAACCGAAAGATTGTTGTTGGAAGGCTGATGATGAACAACGAGGTCTGAAGATCCATGGAGCGGCAGGCGTTGTTTGCGAATGGAGTCGTAAAACTCCTTGAGCACCGTCTCCATCTGCATTTCCCAACCCTTCATGGGCCCATTGTAGGGCGTGTTAACAAGCGTATTGGACTCTGACCCTGTGCCATCATAAGAAACCAGTACTTCGCTGCCGCTCCTAGCAGGAGGTCGAATGGAAAGTCGACTACGGGTCTTCCTAGCCTCGGCGGGCTCTTCAGAAACTTCTCCAGTGAAGTTGGTGGCTTCAGGACCAGGAGAATTTGGTTCCGATCGTTCGTTCCAGGGCAAAGAAGGTCTGCGAAAATGAGTGGACTGCGGTCTTAGTGTTTCTTCGCCAGCAGCTTTGACCGCGTCTTGGCACACACGCACAACAGTGGGAAGCGTGTTGCGAACAAATTGACTACGAGTCATCCTCGACTCGATGTCGGCCAGATGCAGATCCGTGTTCAGAAGCAAGATGGAATAACAAATAGTATGCACCACATCTGGAATAAGATTAATCATGTGTGCCCATTTGAACAAGAATGTGTGCAGGTAACTTACCGACTGCCTTAAAACCATGGTTGCTGTTGCACTCACACCATCGCTCTGAAAGGCTCATGAGAATACGATCAACCTGTTGAGTTTCGGCTTTGAGGATAATCTTGCCGCAAAGATCACGCATGGCAGCAAGGATGTTGAATCCGGTCCAGTCGAATAGATCCATAAATGCCTTTCGGGTTCGTGTGCTTGAAAGGGTGACATCGCCCAACATGGCAGCAGCCTGTGCCTTGAGACCAGAAGACTCGTCTCCGCTGTAGATTTGCAATGCACGCCCACGCTCCGCGTCAGTGGGCTCACTGTGCATCGATCGGTCTTGAACAGCCGCAGACATGGTGTCGGATTCAGAGTTTCGGCTTTCTACCTGTACTATAGGGAGTTCGGTTGCAGAGTGGAAAATCTCATTGGGTGTGGTTGGTGTACGGGTATCAGGAGAGCAAGGCAGCGACTTTTCAAGTGAGAGCTGGGATGAGCGTGTGCCTTCCAATGGAAGTTTCAGGTCGTCAGTAGTATCACCGAGAGTATCCGGTACGGTGGTGTCGAGCCATACACGCTTTGAAGCTGCACTCCTCTTGCCCGACGAGTAGACAATGTCTGATGATTCGGTAATGATCCAACCGTCGTCCTCGACTTCGGATGCCGACTGTGAAACAGATCCGTTTCTCGACGTTGGGTTCTCATGGGGTGATAGTTGGTCGGGCCGCTGATCATCAGCCGGCTTGCTCCTTCCCTCTGTTTGTTTGGGCAATGGCCAGGTGGGGCCCATGCTCGCTTTGTGCACATCATCTGCACCGCTGCATTCTCCCGTTGGTGTTGCACGACCACTCTGATCCTCATTACCGCTGCTACTATCCGCAAGGAAGCTGTCTTCTTGTGGAGCCAAGGCGGTTGATTTGCCGTGTTTCATTTTGAGTTTCAGCTTGGGTGTATTTGCACTATTCAAATGAGAAGCCTTGAATTGTTCATGGCGAGATGCCGGGGGCGTCTGATCGTTGCCAGGAGCGTCAGCGTTGACCGTGCGGACAGCCGCGTCCTTGTGGGGCTTATAGGTAGGAGAGAAGCCCTGTGGTCGCTCGCTCTCTGCAACGTCATCCCCGGACTGTTCATCTCTCGGGACTCTGTCTCCGGTGCGTCCTGACTCATTCAGGTAAGGGTTCATAACCTTGCGCAGACTGCTTATACCTGGACTGGGTTGCGCAGGTAGCACTGGTCTCGGCGGCGGCGAATGCTCAAGATTCATGACCGGGGGCCTTGTGTTTTCAGAAATTGACTTCTTGCGACGTCTGAAGAAGGACGAGGGCTTTTTGCCTAGTGTTGGTGGCTGTGATAGCGGTTGCGTGTCTGTATGCGAAGATGACGTCGCGGTTTGGGGTGCCTTTGCTAACGTCTTGGTCTGGACGGGAGCTTGGCTGCCAGTGTTTGGTGTTGTGCGCGGTCGGTTTGCCGAGTATATCGAATTGACATCTGCGGCTTGTGGTCTGCTGGGTGCCGGCGTTGGCTCGGTTTGCGACGCGTTTGACAGAGGTGGCGGGTTTTGCTGTTGCGACTGGGGCTTTGCAGAGCCTCCGCCAAAGACACGGCGGAAGAAGCCAGGTTTGGAGGCCGCTGGGGGTTGCGGAGGAAACAATGGTACTCTAGCAGCTACGCTCGATGATGGTGCCGATGAATCGTGCCAGGCCGGTACAGGGGGAAGTTCTCGTAATCTGCTCGCGTTGACAAACTCCTCCGCCTGTGCTCGCATGCTTGGCCCGGGTTGACTTTTGTTTTTCCGCAAGGTCTTGTAACTAGTGTTTGAGTGGACGCTACCTCTGCGTCCGGGCCTAGGGCCCTGTGGTGCTGCGTACGGGGGTTGCGGGGGAAGTGCTAGCGGGGACTGAGGCGCTTCTTGGACCCTTCGAGGGCCAGCTGGAATGGTGGGCTCAGGTGCTGCGTCGTAATCGTCGTGGTAATTCTGATAGGCGACCCTGCCTCTGTCCAAGACCGACTCCACTTTGAGGGGTGAGATGCGCCCCCGATCACTTGCATTGCTGTGATCAAAACTCGCAGAGCGCTTTCCAAACCCGAGCCGCTGGTTGCCCAAGACACCAGACTGGCCAAAATCCATGCTCGAGGATCCGCTACCCATGCTGCCCTTTTTGCTTCCCCCTCTCAGATGTCCAAGCTGCCCATATGAGTTGTTGATTTGTCTGCTTGAATGGATGTCTCGTGTGCTCCCCTTTCTCGAGATGGGCATGCTAATGTTGTTGCTGCTGTTGCTTCGGCGCGCGCGAGAGTGGTGCGCAGCGTATCGCGAATGGTCGTCGGGGTCGTAGTCGGAGGAGCGCGACGATGTGTACGTGTGGCCTCGATGGCGCGCGCCGGGTGGGCGAAAGGATGTGTCTCTCAGGAAGAAGTCGTCTTCTCCGTAGCCTTGGTATCGAGGCCCTGAGCTACCGCCGAACAAGCCTCCTGAAGAGAACTGATCCAGTGACAGAAGCATATTATCCACGACCGAGTCTCTAACACCGGCCTCTGTGAATGACAGGTCATGAGAGTCGCGCACAGGGTTGTGCTTTGCGTTGTCGCTTAGGCGGTCGACTGGAGTTGCATCGTCAAAGAAAGTCTCCTGCTTCGGCTGGTTGGTATTGAGCGCCCTCATTGATTTGTTCGGTCGGTTTGTCCTCGAGGGACCTGGAGGTGTAGAAGGTGGCTCGTCAAGGTGCAAGTGGTCGGCCATGGCTCGATGCGACGAAGCGAAGATGTCGGGGTGGTGCAACCTTCCACACTCGAGCAATGGAGCATGCTCCGGGGTGCTCTAGTAGTTTTCCGCCCAAGAGACGGGAACGATTGAAGCTTTGAGGCACTTGGCGTGGCAGCAGATGGCTCGGCACAGAGAAGTTAAAGCTCAGTGGCGGAATAGAGCGTGGATACGGTCGTCAGGTATCGTCGTCGATGTCGTATACGCAATCTATGTACAAAGGCCTGCACAAAATGCTAGGGGCGAATCAAGGCGTTTTGCAATGGCATGACACGCGCAGCAAACAGTCGGTCCAAACTAAGTTTACGCTGAGGGTTGCGGGGGATGCTTCAGGGGGTCCAAACGGTCGATGTTCTTGTGGTGTTGCACGATGTAGCCAGAAACAGCCACGCGCAAGCACTAACAGGTACTGGGGGCCCAGCACGCATACAACGGCGTCGGGGCGGAATCCAAAGTAGGCCGTGGGAAAGGAAGGGGGGTGCGCAGGGTATAAGTTACCTGGGATAGAACAAAGAGCCGCGGGTGGTGGTATCGCGACCAGAACAGCAGTTAGCAAAGAAAGGGCCGTTCGCCCCAAGGCAAGTTCCAATGCAGGAGGGACGTAGACTAGGAGCTTTTGAGATGGAGGTGCAGGCGATCCAAACCTTGTCGTGGCATCCCTGACCATCTGTCGAACAGATTCAATGGACATGGTCGCGACCACGAGTCAAAAAAGTCTTGGGAGCAAGCACGCTCTGACCCGCTGCAAGGACGAGATGCAAATACAATTCCCGGGCTCCAAATTGCTCGCTCGCCAGTCAAGAGGGTGTACCACCTCCTGGCACAGACAGCGGAACCTTGCAGGGGGGTTGTACAGGGGTCTCGGCTAGGTGTAATAGGTAGACTTTGCCTTTCAGGACAGCCCATACTGCTTAGTTTTCTTTTGTTTGTAGGCTCTCTTCTCGCGTGCGCGTACTTGGAAGCCAACCGGCCGCCCCTTGGCTCGGCAATAATTGATGCTATGCACTTAAAAAAGAACGGTCTGGCAGTCCAATTATCTTGATTGGATCGTATCACGAAGCTATTTCACTTAGGCGCTCGGCGGTTTTCTGCCGAGCTCCGAAGCTCAAGGCCCTCTTGTTCTAGAAGCAATATTTCCATGTCTAATACAACAACATTTGGGATTGACCATTCTCTCTAGTTCTGCACACTTACTTGTCAGAGCTAGATAGGTTCTTTTGTTGTTTTTTATGCACTTCATATCAATTTTACAAGCTGAATCTACATGTCCAATGTACAGCTTCCGAGTTCAGCATCAAAACAATCCAACAATAGAAACTCACACGGGCCGTACAAACAAAACATGGTTGTAGAATGAAAACATGTTATCAAATGGTAGGGTGTGTCTACCCAGAGAACACCTCGTAGGGAAAAACCAATACTTGGTTACATCACATGTACTCTGGTGATCAACGACGTACTGGCAACGAATCTCATTATCATCAAACGCAGTGCATGGTTTCCCTGTGCCACTTGGTCCTCCGCACTTTGTCCAGCCAGCACAAATATTTCAATACTCCATACTGTCGGAATGTCACCCACGGTAGTCTTTTGTCCCAGTGGACCAGCAAAGCCACATGAAGAATTGTATTGATGGCCACTGTCTGAAAGCGTAGCGCACTAGTCGACGCTAGTACCTATGTGAATACAACCCTATCCAGATATTTAGAAAACGAACTCAAGTTATAGAGGCAGGGCTATACAATGCAGACGCATAGTAGTCAAAGAAGATAGTGTTTTGTGTGCTCGACTGTCGTAGAGACAAGAAAGCGAGTACTATACTTAGCCTTTTGCAGTCTCTTGAGTCCTCGCATATCAGCATATACAAGACTCCACTCAGCTTCATCATACTCAACCGTAGTGCAATGCATGTCAGACTAATCTATAATTAAGAAACCATAACCACACACAGGTTGGCTTCAACTACGGAAGATAAATATACGTAAGCCTGCTATTTCTACAAGTTAGAAAAATCTTCGGCGGCTCAGCGTCGGTTCGACTGCAACTGCTCACAATTTGCCATCAGGAGCAATAGTATCAGCATATAAACAAATACGCAGCAGTGAACGAAAGCAAAAAAAAGACTAGATCTAGAATGTAGGCATACAAACCCCTGCTGCCTTGTTCCTGCCAAGACAAGTTTCCAGTATTTCGTGGACAAATACTATGTGTATCTCAGTCACATTACCACCGCCTTGGCAACAAACACAGTATTAACATGAGCAGAACAAAAGACCCAGTTACCAGGAAGCAAGAAAAAATACCAGTGCTCCCAGAATCCCCCCAAACAGTCATCTCGGCGGGCGCGGTCACAAGCCGATAGCGCCGGCTGATGGACTTATTGGCCGATGTACGGGATGTGCATCATCCATTGAAGCGGGCGGTCTTCCTGAGTCACGCATCCCAGCGAACGCGCAACGTTACTTACGACAGGTATACTGAACAGTCCCGGTCGGGAAGGATTACGAGAGAAGAGAGTGAGAGAGGAAGGGGGGACACACCTAATATCCCGTCAGGCACACGACCTGCAGCCAGGCGTGCATAGCCTGAGACGATGGCTCGCGCCTGAGGGCTTTGCAATCCGCCCCTCGTTCCGCTCTCCTGCATATCTTTTGTTCTTTCTCCACCAACCTCTGTTTAGGCGCCCCCCTGCGCTTCGTTACAGCCGTATGTATTTCCTTCTTTTCTCGCAAACATCTACTTAAAAGTACGCCAGCCATTGTTTTTTTGTGGCGCCCACATAAGCGAAAAAGAGGCTGCATCCAGACTTCCTTGCATACGAATTACTTGCATTATTATGATTGCGAAATAAATAGCTCAGCACAAATATTGCTCCTGCGAATATCTTAACAAATGCTCATGCATCCATACATACAATGTCTAAGTTATCACACAAACAAGAAGAATACTACTGGCCAAACCACTTTACTTACCCCTTGCAAGGCGATATTGACAAGGTGATTACTTACAAGCCCGGCACAATGCATCCGAACCTGTAAACGACCACGTTCTCTTTTACACATCTCTAGTATATGCTGCAGGGAACATCCCTTCAAGCACACAAACATGACAACCGCACTCATCCATCCCACTTTTTCGCATACAGTAACTTCTCCCGACCCTCCAAAAATATACCTCTCCACAAGCATCCTGGAATTTGTGCCTTACACCCCACGTGATATTTGAACTTTTTAACCACAAACCCTTGTGAATCGTGGATCAGACAAAGACAACCAATTCCACATTGTATTACGCAAGACGCTAGGGGCGTGTGTGTGTGGGAGGGATCGGCACATGTACTAGCAAGCATTCCTGATCGTCATATCTTTCATTCCGCTAATTACCCACATGACGCACCCCTCCCCCATCCTCCTTCCCTGTCTGACAGTTAAAAGTGGCCGACTTTCATCGTTAGAGCATCCCGAAGGTCGATTGGCGAAAACTTTATATATGCGATGATATCACTGTCATTGCAAATCGCTCATTTCGTTTCTCTTGGGAAAACAGGCACAGATACGATGTGTGCAGGGCTTGGTGTTTACACAATGAGATTCACATTTTGTTCTGACACAGAAAAGCAAAAAAAAAGATGACAAAGTTTTTTCTTTCTTCTCCCATCTTCTATAGTTCACTCGCAAAAAAACTATATGCCCGGGGAAAAAAGGTTTTCGCTTATATAAACACTGTGTTGACAAGAATAAATAATGCTCATTAAAAATGAAAAAGAAAAGGTGTGTGCTAATAGTCATGAGCCACGACTCCTGCCAATGATGGATGTCAGCTTGCTTATAGACAACACGCGGAAAACGTTCGTCACGCTTGATTCTAAGTGCAAAGGAAATGATGCTCTTTCAAAGGATTGAGATCTCCCGGTCGAATGATTCCATCTGTCACGGGCCGCGACCCCTGGAAATACCCAAACCCTGAGGCGCTGGACCGTTCTTTTCCCTTTCGCTTACACTGCTGCGCCTGCCTGCAATGGCGGAGATACTTTCACTGCGCGAGCTATCCATGCTTCTCCTCATGCTGCTAGAACTTGACCTACGTCTGGCCCGTCTAGCTTCATCTGGATCATGGGGGTTTAGTCCACTGGCTCTTGCAAAGAGATTGAGGATGTCCGTAAGACTGATGACTCCACTGAGTCTGCCTGAGAGGCTAGCTCCAGGCATAGCTGAGATTGCTGATGCCGAAATGGACGGGGCAACAGCTCCTGTAGCAGCAAGGTGAGTGGGTGCCGTAGAGGTTACCGGAGTTGGACCAGCCAACCCAGGCAGCGGCGTGATTGGTGAAGGTGGAACAACAATTGCGGGTGTTATTGCGGGCGTGGAAGGGCCTGATGAGGCAGGTGATGGTGCATCAACGACCCACATGCGGTGCGAGCGGGTAGCTACTAGCTTGGCTACCGTATGTGCAAGAGTGCTGTATGGGTTTATATGGAACACAGGAAACGAATCTTTGCCGTCATTCACTCCCCGTTCAGATAGGATGACGGAGATGAAGTGGATGCAGGATGAGCGAAGTAACGGAAGTGATGTGGACTTAGTCAAGAGCTATCGACATATCGTCAGTCACAGATGCAAAAGGTCAGAACACTGAGTGCTTACCCGAACATCGACTTGTGATATATTACCAATGACATTGTTCTGTGCATCGAGGACTGGCAGAGACGAGACACCTTCGTTGTTCATAAGCTCGAGAGCTGTCGCCAAAGGTTTATCTCCACTGTTTTTCTGGTCAGCTCAAAGGCATTGATAAATGCCAGGGATTCTTACTTGATGGCCATGACCGTCTTTGAGCCAAGATCTAAGTCCTTGATCAGCTGTGGGTAAAGCTGGTTGACGGCCGGGAAGCTCGACCGATTCTCCCAGAAGAATTGCACTAGTCTCAACTGTGTGAGAATTCCAACGACGTTCTGTGAGCCTTCTTCAACGACGAGTATTCTGTGTATACCACTGCCAAACACTTCAATCGCTTTGCAGAGGTCTGTATTCTCATCGAGGGTGATCAACGGCTCCTTGTTGCCGCCAACCTCTTTGACGTCCTTGAGAGGAATGGGCTTGCCCTCTCGACCCTTCCTTGCAAGTTCGTCGAATGATGCAATATCTCTCTCTTCGGGGTGTGCAAGGCCGACTACAAGGAGAAGATAGGCATTCAGATCGCTGTAATCAAAGGTCCCGACTGCATGCCGCGAATTGGTATCTTCGCGAAGGAGGATGACGTTGGGAGCACCGTTCTTGACGAGTATCTATGCATATCAGTATTGAGCGTGCAGCAAGAGGATGCAGCCGTATTCCTCACACTCGTAGCATCCTCGACACTGGTGTCGTACTCGACAAACCTGACCAGCTCCGGGTCGACAATCTCTCGGAGACGAACGGTCTTCCAGTCACGTCCTTGGAACTTGGAATCGCCGCCCTTTGTTGGGGGATTGTTGAAAAGCTCTTGCAGGGCTTGTTGTGTGAGGGAGGGCTGGCGTGATGCGCGCGGTGATGTGGGGGCTCCTCGCATATGCTCAGCAAAGCTTGAGCGGTGCGACGAGTGAGGACTTGGAGCAGAGCCCATCTTGAGAGCAGGCGGAGGGGTGCGGCCTATGGATGAGGTGGAGCTGCTGAGGGAAGCATTCTTGGTGTCGACGCCGTGGTTGCGGTCTGCCATGGTTGCGACGCCTGTGTGTCGCGTATTGCGTATTGCAGGATGCGGGGCTCCGCAGCAGGAGTAAGAGCTATGTCGGTGTGGAGCAGAGAGCTATATGCCGTCAAGTATGCATGTGCTCAGGACACGGCGATACAAGTGTGAGACGACAAGCTATCGGTTGTTCTACAACAGAGTCGCCGCATGTGAAGCGGAATCGAGGTGAGCGGGGGCGCTTGCCCGCAGTTGCAATGCCTGCAGCTCCTATCTCCTATCACCAACTGCAGGCGGAATGCGGGGTTGCCACTGCACTTTGCAAGAGCGTTGATCGCCAACAGGCGTTAAGAGGGATATTTTTTATACAATCAATCCAATCGAAATCGCTATAGGCTTCCTTATTTGAAACAAGCACAAGCTATTTTCAGTAATCATGCTGCGTTGTATTCATACTGAAAATGTAAAAAATCATCAAGACCGCCTACCATAGCCATAACAGCATTCCTAACTCCCGCCTGAAATCATAACCCAACAAAACTAGAGACCCTCCGCCTAAGCATCCTTCTGCTGCTCAGGCGTCAACGCGTCCTGGTCAGCCTGACGTTGTTGCATGCGCTTGCGGATGGCGTCTCCTGAGGTTGAGTCGCCATCCCGGCCACTGGCAGCAGGTCCATTGCTAGCAGTGTCGATAACCTTGTCGTCGTACGTCATGCCGTTCATCATGCGTGCTTCTTTCTTTTGCTGCTCAGTGCTCGATATGGTCTGAGTCGATCCCGCGCTGGGAGGGACGCCGACGCTCGACATGGGGCTCGCCGGGGTCTGATCCCTTAGATAGCCAGGCAATGCGCTCGCCTTGCCCACAGCTGGGCTGCCGAGCTGACTGTTGTGGCGAGCTGGCGTCCTCGCGCCCTCACCGAAACCGACCAGAGAAGCCGCCTCGTCGCTGAAGCCGCCCATGCTTGAAGTGTCCATGTCCTGATCCTCACTCATCCGGTCTGGCTCATACACATCGCTGCCGCTGGCCCAGGTTGTGCGACCACCGACAGATCCAGTGGCACTAGCACTGCCAACGGTACTGCGCTCGCGGAACAGCTGGGGTTGGTTGTTTGCGTCAAAGTAAGCTGGAGGGTGGTTGGATGCGACACCTGGGTTGAGTCCTTGAGAAGAGCGACCGGAGACTGCAACCCGCTCAAGGCCAGCCAGGCGTGAGATGCGATCCGCGCGCTCAGCTTCAGCTGGATTGCGATGGTGGGGAAAGTGGCCTCGATGTCCGTCCTTGATGGCAACAGTAGACAACTCAGACATAGTAGTTGTAACAGAATTGGGTGTGCCCCTGTGTGCGTGATATTAGTCGACTTGCTCGATACCCAGCCCCGCCGGGGACATGTGATGTCTTACGGAGCGTCGCCTGGAGTCTCGTCTCCAGATGGCGGCGGTGGCAGATTGATCAGCGTGGGCGCATTAGCTGTCATTGTGATTGGGAGATGTGAATTGACTTGGGTATTTTTGAAGATGGTATGGAAGTTAGGAGAGCAAGCACAGCTTCTGGGCAAGTAGTTAATTACAGGGACGGCCGGGCCCGTGACGAGTGACGAATGACGTAGCGTGTACCCGAGAAGCGTCGATTGAAGCAGAGCAAGCAAGCATGGACGACAGTAGGCACGCTCGTGAGGCGAAAACCGGGCGTCATACCATGTAACCTAAGTACATAATCCCACCCCTATTCAACCGTAAGCTTGGGGCAGTACAATCTCCCCGCCTCATTCTCGAGTCTACAAGGACTTGTTCTGACCGTTGGCTGCGCACTTGGACGCAGGGTCCTACCCTAGCGTCTCCCTGGCCCTTGATTGGCTACCGGTGTCTTGGAACTTTCTTCCCATACGTAAGTACACAGTACATATTTTGCATCTACGTTGCACACTATAATCTCGAACTCTATATGCATAAGTAGGTGTTGAGCTTCTGGCAAATACGCCAATCGTGACATTTTCAATTATGAAACCATTGGACCTGGCAATCCAAGCGCGCCTTTGCCGTAGCCATCCAAATCGGTGTAGAGAACTCAGGTAGCCTATTCATGAGCAACACTCGAGCTGTGCTGAGACCGTAGAATACCAGAAGATCATAGATACCAAGTGAAGTAAACCCGTGACTCAAGGATACTGGCCGCTTGGGTTTTTCTAGTAAAGCAGGGGGGGGGGTTCCTATCATATTATCGCCATATGAGTACAGTTAATACTCTTCCATCACAATACACAAATCAAACAGCTGATACTTGAGCAAAATTCATTCTGGAGTTCTTTTAGGGGTATTGGGGAGTACCATTCCGCACTCTCCATTTCTCTCAGATATTTAAACAGACACGTGCCAGTCACACCGCCTCACTATACTTCATCAGTTCATATCTTCATGCCCCTTTACGCCTCATATGCATCGGTCATATTTCTTTCTCCACCCACCCAACTTAAACCTTGTTCTCAAGCCTACGCTCATCTCTCAGCTTGATCAGCTTCTCGACAGCCTCATCAAGCGGTACGATGACGCCACGCTGTTGGGTCTCTTGGTCATCGCGGTTTCTCCAGTTGACAGCCCTTGCCTGCTGTTCCTCTGCACCGACAACCATGATGAAGTTGTATAGTGCCAACTGTGCTGTGCGGATCTTCTTTTGCATAGTGTTACCGCTAATGTCGATATCGGCGTGGAAACGGTTCTTGCGGAGCACAGCCTGAACTTCCTTGACATAGTCGTTTGCGCTAGGCATCACAGGAATGACCATGACTTGGCGAGGTGACAGCCAGAAAGGCCACCTACCTGCGAAGTGCTCTGTGAGGATACTGGAGCTGTTTAGCAGGGATATTCTAATCAAGCATGAGCGTCAAGACTTACGCAATAAAACGCTCAAAGGAACCGTAGATAGCACGATGAATCATGACGGGCCTTGCATAACCTGGTTGTGGTTCCTTGGGATTCTTGGCCACAGCAGCATCCGTGGCTTCTATCTTCTCCTTCTTCTGCTCGGCCTGTTCGACTTCCTTCGGCTGCTCCTTCGCCTTTGTAGGAATGACCTCAGAAGTCATGTACTCGAGTCCGAATTGGATGGGCAGCTGGAAATCGAGCTGAATGGTAGCACACTGGAACTCTCGCTTCAAAGCGTCCGAAATGGTAATGTCGATCTTGGGACCGTAGAAAGCACCATCACCAGGGTTAAGCTCCCAAGCGCCACCACCCTCGGCAGTAAACTGATCCAAAGCCTCGGTCAATTTCGCCTCGGCCTTGTTCCAGGTCTCGATATCACCAAGGAAGCCCTCAGGACGGGTACTCAACTTCAGCTTGAATGTGAAACCAAACTTTCCATATACAGCTCTTAGGAAATCGAACAGTGCAGAGATCTCCTCGGTGATCTGATCTTGGGTGCAGAAAACGTGGGTGTCATCTTGCTGGAATCTGCGCACACGGGTAAGGCCGGTAAGCGCACCACTGGCTTCATTTCGATGCAAGATACCAAAGTCGGCCATCCGAATAGGCAACTCTCTATAGCTGCGCTCACGGTGCCCGAAAATCAAGCAGTGTCCGGGGCAGTTCATAGGCTTCAGAGCCCACTTCTCCTTCTCGACATCGAAAGTGAACATGTCTTCTGAGTAATGTTGCCAATGGCCCGAAATTTTCCATAGCGAAGAATTGAACATGTTTGGTGATCCGACTTCCTGATATCCACGGTTCCAGTATTCTTCGCGCAGAAAAGCTTGCAGTGTGTTGTAGATGATCTGACCATGTGGCAGGAAGAAGCACGAACCAGGACTGTACTCATGGAAAAAGAACAATTCTTGTTCCTTTCCAATCTTACGGTGATCGCGCTTGGCAGCTTCTTCGAGGAACTTGAGATGTTGCTGCATCGCGTCCTTATCAGGGAATGAAACACCATAAATACGTTGCAGACTGTCGTTCTTGGCATCGCCCAAGAAGTATGATGCGGAATTCTTCATGACCTTGAACTGCTTTATCCGTCCAGTGTGTGGTACATGGGGCCCTCGACAGAGATCAATTAGCGGTCCGTTTCGGTACACAGTGGTGAAGCTGCCGTCGGGAATCTTATCCTTGATGATGTGCTGCTTGTACTTGTTGGACTTGAACATCTCAAGCCTAAGACAGGTCAGATAGATTCGCCACAAGACGATGAAAAGACTTACAGATCGTCCTTGGACAGGGTAAGACGCTCGAAGACTTGCTTCTCCTTGACAATACTGTTGACAATGGTCTCTAGCGGCTTGTGGTCGGCGTGCTCAACGGCAGCGTTATCGGGGAGGGCCATCTGTAATACAATCAGCAGCGTCCTTGGAATTTTGTAACAAGACAGACCTCGTAGTAGAATCCATCTTCAATGGGAGGACCAATGCACAGGTCGCATCCAAACCTGCGTTCCGAGGCTTCTCCTAGGATATGCGCGCTCGAGTGCCAGAAGACTTTCTTGCCTTCAGGGTCGTCAAACGGCAGGAGCTCAAGCTTGCAGCTCTTCTCCAGTGGTCTTTCAAGATCCCACAGTGTCTCCTCCGGTGTCCCCTTGTCCAAACGCGCGACAACGGTGCGCTCAAACAGGCTCTTGGAGATGTTTCGCGCAATGTCGGCAGGACTGGTGGACCATGATTCACCTTCAACGATCTTGCCATCTTCAAGCGTAATGGTGATTTTCTCTGTTGGGAGAGTAATGAGTTAGTATTATGCAAAGGCGTCTCGTGTCGAAGTGATGAGCGTACCGCGGGGTTTCTGGGCGATTTCTTCGTCGTACTTTGCCTTGAGTTTCTCACTGGGATGTGGTTAACATGCATTTCGTAAAACTCTAAGTACCACTTACAAAATCTCAATGCGATGGTCTATGAAGGCTGGTGCAGGGTCAAGCATCAATGGACGACCGTCGCCAGCATCGCCCTTGGCCTTCTTCTCCTTCTTCGGTTTTGAGGCCTTGTTTCCTTTTTGCTCGGCCTTCTGGTCGGCAGATACGGCCAGATCTTTCACTCCCTCGACAGCCGAGTTGACGGCATCTTTGATTGCGTCCGCCATGTTGTTGTTACTGTCGAGTCTCAAGCGCGCGGGGCGGAAATTGTATGTATACAGCAGTGGTGAATCAAGCACTGCACAAGATGATATGACTCAGAACGTGATGCGAATGCGATGAACCGTGTCGCAGGTAGAATGTCTCCAAACCAGTCTAGAGGATCAGATCCAGATGCAAAGCAACGTCCGACTCATACACAATTTCAGAAAGGTCCACGCCCACGACAGCCCACTTGGCCTTGGCAGGTGCATTTGGTGGGGTTATGCGGCGGCAGGATCCATCGGCGAAACGTGGGACCGATTGGCCCTGACTTTCCAACTTCATTTTCCGTTCGAACTTTTCGCGAAGCTCTCGAACAAGCTCACCTTTCGCGCACCGACCACTCTCAACACAACAGAAACAATGGCATTTCGCGGAACTCCTCGTGGCGGTCGCGGCGGCGGCTTCGGTGGACGTGGTGGATTCTCTGCGCGTGGAGGTGTGTGGCACGCTCAGAGCTGTACAGAATTTCCTAGCTAATGTGCCACAGGACGCGGTGGAATGGGAGCTTCTTTCGGACCCCCAGACACTGTTGTTGGTAAGAAGAGCACCTTGATGCGAAAAGGCTGGAGCTAACTTTTTGTAAGAAATGGGAAAATTTGTTCACGACTGCGAAAACGAGATGTTCTGCGAATCGATAAACACCAAGATTCCCTACTTCAATGCGCCAATCTACCTAGAGAACAAGGTATATATATTGCGAATCTGGAAGCCAAGGAGAAAACAGGATTGACCAATCTGCAGACACCCATTGGAAAAGTTGACGAGATCATGGGCCCGCTGAACCAGGTCTACTTTACCATCAAGCCACAAGAGGGCATACAAGCAAAGTCATTCAAGGCTGGCGACAAGTTCTACATTGGAGGCGATAAGCTGCTCCCTCTTGACAGGTAACGTGGCTCACCCGGCTGTCCATCTAGCGCGCTAACGAAAATAGGTTCTTGCCTAAGCCCAAGCCTGTCGGCGGCGTTACGAAGGTCAAGAAGCCCGCTGGCGCAGGCCGTGGAGCACCACGAGGTGGTTCTCGTGGCTTTGGAGGTCGCGGCCGTGGAGCACCGCGTGGACGGGGTGGACCTCCTGGACGCGGAGGCTTTGGTGCCCGTGGTGGAGGTCGCGGCGGAAGCGGTGGCTTCTCAAGAGGCGGTGGACGTGGTGGTGGTGGCTTTGGTGGACGTGGACGAGGAGGATACTAAATGCTTCGGCCCGGGACGACGATCACCTCACGCTGGAGAAGCGCTGCCTTTTGCGCTGCCGTTTCGGCTCGAGCCTACGATTACCCACCGATACCATGATCATTTGTCGGCGTTTTGGAGTTGCGATGGAACCACTGTAACACGTCGAAAATATGGCGCCCTGTTGCGGACACTTTGAGATGGATGCGCGGATTGTTATTTTTCTAGCCAAATTACTCTCGATTTTACAAGCAATCGCAAAAACGGGAAGCTGAGAAGCCTTGTACGTGGTGATCATGGTCGACTGTTGGGGTTGAGAGAGATGGTGCTATATCACTAAAAGCTTGAAAGGCACCAGACGCCGAACTTTTGACATGCCACCAAAACAACTTTACAAAGAAGCATGTGGGATTGCGCATCTTTTCATTCTGGAAATGGTTATTTTTCGTATGCTGATGGTTTCCACCAGTCACGAATTAACCTGCAATTGAAGACGTGGGTGACAAGACGAACTTCAGTGATTTCCAACATGTGCAAGAATTAGCAGAGCACATTGGTGCCGTGATGTCAACGTCACAGCTGTCGGATGCTGCAAAACACCCGAGACAGTCGAAAGGTTGGGCTTTTTTCCGATGGAGCTTCGTGCCGCGGCCAATAAACTCATTTGCGACATGCCAGCCATCCCAGCCCAGCCTCCTCAATGGGGTCACGGCGGTCCGCGGAAGCATCAATAACAACAGGTTCTGTAGGGGCTCGGACGATTTTTGCGCTCCTCTTAGACGGACCATCTTTCCCTACCTTTCTTTTTCCTTCTCAGTTTTGCTCCTTGAAAGGGGTGTCCTGGTACCACTGAGCTCTCTGCATTCCGCCCCGCAGCAATCCCGCCGTGTCTGAGCCGCACCCTCACGTCACTCATTCGCTTGTGTCAATTCCCTACAGCCCCCATACGACAGCGCGCAAAGTCTCGGAGACAATTCCGTGAGAGGCTGGATATCAACAGAAGAGACGCACATCTGGTCAATTGCTGGATAGGGGAGGAGGGATTGCAACGCTGCCAAGTCAGTCTCCGGATAACCGACGGTAAACAAGGCAACGAAGCTCCACACCTAGGAATACCATTGCAGCAACACGAGCGCAACAACCCCCTCGCCCTGCGCGACTCCAACTGAACCCAAATCCATCACAAACCACGTGCGACGAAGCCTCAAAGCTCAAAATACCGAAAAAATGGCGCGCGCAGGACACTCAGGCACAGTCGTCGGCTCGGCGATAGTAGTACGGGAAAAGTACTACTGGCCAGACTTACAACTGAACATCTGGACAATAGTTATGCTGGCAACAGCAGGGCTAATATTGGGCGTGAATGCGCAATTCATGGATATACAGAATCGAATGGGGTTGGGAACGCCATGGTATGTGAAAGTCCACCACCTATACTCAAGCAGCAAATGCAAACAATACTCAATTCTCCCTGGAGAAGACTGCTAACCCAAGTTCCACATAGGATCATGCCCTATGGCGTCACAGTAGGCACTCTCGCTATCATTTTCATCATTATCGAAATCATCTACATTGCGCAACGGAAGCTCCTTCCTAGCGTCATGATGTTGTTTTCCTTCATCCTGCTCGTCCTCTTCCTCGCCGGCGTCATTGGAACTGCGATACAACTCTTCGCTGGACCCAATATCAACAATCAATGCAATACCTATGTATTCAATAACGATGCAAGGGGTCCCACCATGGAAACGCTAGCTTTTTTGCAGCAGAGGAATATCTGTAAGTAACCATACGTTCTTTTCGAAAGATGGGAGAGACTAATCAAGCTGGAAATAGGCCAATGCTGGCAGGCTCAATTTGCATTCTGGATCATCGGAACGGTGTTTCTCGTCTGGATGATGGTTATGGCTAGCCAAGTCAACTCCAACACCTACGTCAGATAGTAGGATGTTGTGGTCTTGGCTATTTTTTTGTTATGAGAAACATTTCCAAACTTCTTTGCATGTAATGCTTTTTTTCTTCCTTTTCTTCTACAATTCATGCGCCACGTGTCTATGAATGTATTGATGGTAAGCATGTACCATGTAATTTGGGCGACAGCAACAGCGAATGTTTTAGTGTATAAACGATGAACGAGATACCGATTGGATTAACACACAGCAGCGAGACGAGCGCGTATATGTAGGAGCAACAGTATACCTAGATGTTAGCAATAGGAACGAAGAATGAGAACGGATGTCTTGAAGCATAGCGTAGAGGAAATACGAACACAAGTATCAACCAAACCCAATTGGTACTTGCATCTAATCAGAAGCACACCTGCATGCGTACACCTTCTAGTTCACACTTCTCCCATTCTCAACCTTGTTTGGATGGTCATGTGGAACAAAGCCCTCTCCCTTGTTCTCGTACCTACATAAGTACCCGTGGCTCAAGCCACTAACTCTCAAGCTCCCTTAGCAACGACCATCACATCACGTCGCCAAGTCTAAAGGGCAACAATCGGGCGCAAGTACGAGCACGACAACTGTAGTCAAGACCGTAAAAAGTAACATAGGGTATACAATGCTAATTATTGGAAATGGGGGTGAGGGATCAGCACACCATCTGCCCCTTTCCCTCTACCCGTTATCTGAGCCAGCTGTAGACGCAGCGCAAGGAAGATAGGACACAGGGACTTTTCTTTGTCTCTTTCCTCTTTGTTGTGTGTAAAATAAGTTACACATGTTACCACTACAGCAAAGTAGTAATGTAAGGAGGTTGCAAAAGGGTGATATTTCAGCCCATGAACAAGCCAAGCGCTCGCGGTAATATTCCCGAAATCAGCCCCCAAAACGGGCCAAAAAAACCATCTATCCCCATAGCTCAACACAACTATACCTACCCTTTTTCCCATCCCCGTCATCACCATCCCAAAACAGCCTGATTTAACAAAGAAAACAAGACAAAGCTCAAGCCAGTCCGCTGCCCCCCCTTCTTCTGTTTTCGCACGAAAGAGGTCCGTCCATCACCTAGCCGACGCGACCGAGCTTGTGACATTTGAGACAAACAACGACACCATGACGCCTCGATGAGATAATGGATATCAACACCTCCACGGCCACGCCCGTTTGCCGTTCCCGCCAACACCAATTATAGTTAATGGTACCATTACGAACTACAGTCCACTAGACCGCACGCCCAGCTCAGCCGCCCCCCAACTAAACCAAACCATGCCCATCCACCCAAACCCATGCAAGCACACAAAGGCGTGCAAAACAGGTCAAGCGTCAAACACGCCGCGCCACGCACTAGATCGTCGATCCGCCCTATCTTCTCTCCTTCCCCGCTGTACCTAAGCCGTGCAAGGCCAACCCAACCACATCCGGGAAACCCACACGCGCTGCCGCAGGCAATCTTTCTTGTTTTATTACCATACGAAAGTAACATTACAGACCTTGGTCCTCTTCTTAGTCCTCCCATCCCATCCTTGATCCCGTAACTATACTACTTACTTATAATAATTCCCCTTCCAACCAAGGGCCTTGAATCTGCTTCCGTTTTACCCTTTTTCCATACACATGCCAAAACTGCCGCTGCCGCTGCCGCCCTTTTATAGCAACGAGACTAGACTGAGTGAGGAGGAGGAGCCTTGAATTGACACTCATACATGCACACATGCACATACACACAACCCCCCCCCCCCCCCCCCAGGCCGCGGATCGAGCCGGCCTGGGCATCGATGAGATCAAGCAAGGTCCTCGGTCTACTCGGTTTCCCTGTCATTTTTTCTTTTCTATCTATCTGGGAGAGTTTGAGAGATGGAAAGGGTAATGGAGCCAATTGGATTGATGATCAAGGTGGATTGGGTTAACTACTCATGTACGATGCTTTGCGCGGAAACGCCTCGGCGGCACTTAATCCACGCACGTCGTTTACACACTTTGATAAGCTCGGTTCGACTCGGAGTATTTTTCTTCCTTGCTTGTAGTGTTGGTAAGTGAGAGAGTGTGGTACTTACATTGGTGGGCTGGGTGAGGGGGTGGCTGGGGTGCGACAGACATCCAACAAAGGCAGGCGGCTGGGGATGTGCTTTCTTCTAAACAAGAGAGACAAAACGAGGCGTGAGAGCTCTTTAGTGCTATCAGCTGACATCATCGGAAATCATATAACGCGGTGTAGCGTCCTTTTCGGGGCAATTTGGTAAATTGCACTCATCGTGTTCATTCGTGGTGGGTCACTGCACAAAAGCTGCATCAGTTAGGAATCATGGAGTCTAGAAGAAAAAAATTACACGCAGTTTTGGATTGAGTCTAACTGTTTTGCCTAAATGGCTGTATGGGAAGATGCAGTTGCATTTGTCCAGTGCCCTGCTAAGCCTCTGGACCTGGTCTATGACATGCCGAGACGGTACTTGGCTAAGCCGTGCTGATAGCAAATAAAAAAACTCCAAAGTGAATTAAAATACAGATGCTGAACAGATGCTCCAGTAGAAAGGTGTTGGCAAAGGTGCTCGTACAAAGCGCTTGTGCAGTCGCTAGTGCAAACAGCCACCAAAGGGTAATTGTGCGACATGAAAAGAGTAAGACAAAATAAAGCAAGCGTATGCAGTGATGCATGAGGTATGTAGAAATCGACATGTACTATCCAAACCCAGGACCAGGCAGGGTCTCACCAAACCGCCATAAACGCCATGCTTTTCAAAAAAAAGACTAAATCAAGAGGAGAAATTGACAACAGTCGGCAGCGGCGGCGCATCCAGTAGCGGCTAAACAATCCGTCGAATGCGCTCACTGTCGTTGTCGTTATCGTTTTGTCGTGCCCGAGCGGTTGCTGGGGGGGTATGTCGTGATGAGTGTGAAGGGGTCGGTGCTGACGGTCACGATATAAGTTCACCACCGAGTTCTATGCTAAGGCCATCCATCTTCCCGATACGAGCACGCATATGTGAAGCGTCACCAGTGGGAGGGACGATGTTGTCGAAATTGATATGACGTCGTGCTTCTCGGACGGCAGCGGGTGTTCGGGTTGCGACAGGTGTGCGGTTCCACGATGCGTTGGCCTGCGCAGGGCTCGGCGACATGTTCAGGAACTCGGCAAAGTTCAAGTTTGTCGAGGGTGTCGCCAGTCCAAAGCCTGTGTAATGGGACCCACCACCGCCAGGGGTGGACATCATGGACGAAGGGAGAGGAGTGGATTTCGACGGTGGAGTGGACGGTGCGAGCATCTGCGGCTTCTGGTGACCTGGGCGAACTGGCGTTGGTGATGTAGCTAGATACATGAGCAAATTTGCGTCGTTGTCACCCTGTCTTCCTTCACGAGCTGCACCGGCAGCATTGAATCCACGTTGTCGGAGGCGTGCTGAGCGAGCAACATCAGGAGGCGGTGTACGTGGGGCTCTCGGCGGCGATGACTGGAAATGGGAACGGTTTAGGGAGAAGGACATGATGGGCAGGTCTTCGTCATCGTCTTCGGACAGCAAGGGGGAATGAGGGTCGGCGACGGTCGATGTTTCCGAAACAAAGGATAGGCTTGGCACATGCTGACGGCCAAAACGTGCATGTCTACGGTGATAAACGGGCGAGGACTCGGGCAGCTGGAAGCTATTTTTCCATGAAGTAGCGGCGCTCGTCGAGGTGCGCACTTTGACTCGGGCGTGGTTGCTCGATGCCGGGTATTTATTGGTGCTGGGACGTTGGCAACGGGTCCGCTTGGTCTGGGTGTAGCTGCCTGCGGACCGGCTCTCGGAACGGCGAATGTGGTCTGAAAAGATGGGAGCTTGGAGGGGTGAGGAGTCGAGGACGCTGGGTTGATAGAAGCGCTCCGAGACGCTTGAGACATCCGACATGGCTTCATTACTGGAGCCAGGCCGCTTACGCTTACGCTCGGCACCGTCGAGGACAGGCTCAATGGCGTCGAGGCTGAGGCTTTCCCAGCCATTCTTCATCTTGACGTTGGCCAGAGCGAGGCGGTTCTGCAGAGTGCGGGTCATCTGGATAGTACACGATCAGCACACGGGGGATAAGGGACCAGAGAGAGGGAGATGAACCTTTGAGACCTGGGCCCTTCGCAGGACCTTGGTCGCAACATCGTCCTGCTCAGCCATGGTGGAGGGGTTGGCCGGAGGGGGAGGAGATGAGCAGGGAAGGGGTTGTTGTGGTTGTTGTTGTTTCCCTGGCTGACGTCTCAGTAAGTAGAGTTGCTACAGGCGAAACAGCATCTGGGCGGGAGCTGAGGTGACGGCCAGGCAAGGAATGTGAGGAGCGGATCGAAGTGGACTAGCTCAAAAGTCTGCGGCAGCACAGGCCCCGTGGTGTCGGGGCGGCGCAGGCGTGAGGAGGTCTAGGTGGTAGGCAGGCGGACTAGGGGCAGGATATATCCATTAGTGAACTGGGTAGCAGGCTCCTATCCGGCGCCGGAGCCTTGGTGCGGTCGCTTGCAACAAAGCAAAGTTGTCTTGAGAGGGTTGGTGGGCGGCAGGGGTGTGTGCCTGGTGGCTGCGATTGCATACGGGGCGATGCTGACTAAGGTCTGTATTGTATCGTATCGTATCGTATCGTACGGGATGTCATGGTATCGTATGGTATCGAGCAGCGCTCCGCCGGCATCCGCGCATCGTCTCGAGCCACACCAGATGACGACTGGTGCGGAATCGAGGGAGCAGGAGCGTGAGGGACTATGAGAGCTATGAGAGGGGGAGAGAGGTAGAGTGACGGAGGGAGACATGGGATCTGGCATGGATAGACGGGACGACGGTCAGCGCTCACGTGCATGCATCTACACTGGATACAGCTCAGCGGGGGATCGTAGGCATTATTTTTGGACTGAGCTGCTACGGCCTCGGTCAGTATATACATGACGATGCTGGTGCTGTATGTACGTGGACGATGCCAACGACGACACGCTACAGCAGTGCACCACCTCAGCAGCTGTTGGACAGGCCGTTAAGCTGTCCCAAGGCGGCTAGCGTTAGACAGCCGAGACAGGCTAGCGCTTGACGGGTAACGTCATTGTGGTGGGCAGCGCCGACGTCGTAACGTGCGCTCACCACGGCGTTGCGGCACTGCAGCACGCCAGCCCACGCATTCGGCACATGCTGATGCGGATGCCATGGTATTTGCCCTCGCCCGTCCAATTACTGTCAGACCAACGGTGGACAAGAGTGCCGTTCTTCCACTCCACCTGTTCGGGCCTGCTAGCCCGGATCGACGCAGGCAAGCAAGCAAGCTCGACCAGGCTACTTCACGCCCGGCGTCCACTCTACCCACCGCTGTAATTACCACAACCCTCTCCTGTCTTCTGTCACATCCAGCATATCCTGCCTTCACTCGCTTGTGTCCATTTGCATAGCCCCCCATTATCGCATAACTATTGCCATTGCTGCTTTCACGCGCCTACAAGCATCCTCCACTGGCCATCACGCCGCATTACGCGTCTTCTCCAGCAGTCTCTGGCAGCTCCACATAGTTCGCCTTTTGTCGCTCACTACTTGTCTATGTGCTTCCACAACCTGTCCACTATACCACCGCGCCCTATTCAACACTATGCCTTCATTCCTTCGAAGCCTGAGCAGGAGGAACAGCCGCATGCCTAAGACTGACGATAAGTCCACTAATGGCACAGACAAGCACAATGCTAAAGGCCTCGCCCATCGCGCCTCTGCTTCTACTATGAACTCATCCCAGGTCGCTTCTTCCACTCCTTCTACCACGCCAGCCACATCCACCACCGACGAAGTCAATGGCCCGACTCCTGCGCCTGTGCCTGCGCGACCACAACGTCCGAATGCCGACCCAGTAAAGCGCTACAGCACCAATGTAGGCAGTCGCCTCCGTTTGTAGGAATAATTCTTCTAACAAGCACATCCAGGGAGGACCGTATCCAGCACACAGTGGCTCCAACGGCTCTTTGAACAGATCGTCGCTACTCGCGCCGCGTGTCGTATCGATATCGGATAACTCCTGGGTACATATGGACAGTCGCGTGGAATGGGCAATGCTGATTTCGTACAGGTGCATCAACAAGTCCTTCTCATTTTCGGGCAGGTCGGCGAGCCGCAAAATAGACCTTTGGACGGCACGCTTACGGTTAATCACCACCAAGGCCGCTTTCCGTCTACCTGTTGGCCAGTACACGAATCCTACTTTAAAGCATTGGTACACCTCGAGCCTGGCTGGAACAGAATACGTCTCGACTTTACCTCGCCCAAGGTTTCCTCGTCAAATACCTCCATCTCCCCGCATGCGTCCTTTATCAACATAAACTATTTACCATTGACTCAATCTCCCCCTCTTCAGCTTGCAATTATACTCGGACACGATTCCCCAGGCACATACGATGCTCCACGTGAGCGTATCGAGCGCGAAGGCAATGGCCTTGAGCTCGCACTAAAGAAGTTTCGAATGGCTGCATATCTCTGGCAAGCTTTTACAGGAGAGCAGATGAAGCGCTATGGTTTCGGTCGTCGCTGTTTCCGTTTTGAAGATGCCTGGGAACCCGGTACACTGAGCTATCAAGACTGGGGGCAAAACCAATATCGCACACAGGCCAAGATTCACGTTATCCGCTCCAAAAGGTCCGTCGCGGAAATACGGGAGCTTGAGCGTGCGCAACAGTATGGCCCTGGAACGAAGAAGAACGAACTTTTCGACTTTGCCATAGAGGCATGCAAGGACTATTTCCATATAGCGCCAGGTCAGAAGCATTATGTTTCTTGCTTGTTTCTTGATACACAGTGGGATACTCAAACACAGACAGTACGGGGACATGCGGCATTGGGCGGTGGTACTGGTGATCTACAGCTTGCCATTTTTGGCTCTCACGCGCTCCACAGCTATCCATCGAGCATCGAGGAAGTTTTCCAGGCATTCCAGGACTGCACCCGGACTGATACCTCTGTTGTCGCAAACGACTGTAACGAGTCTGGAAGCAACTGGGAAGCCGCTAACATAGGCATCGGTGCACACCTCCACGAGACGGGCCATCTTTTCGGCTGTCCTCATCAGGAGTCGGGTATAATGTTACGCGACTATGTTACCTTGAACCGTACATTTACTTGTCGGGAGCCTTACTCAACGCGTACCAAGTCACCAGGTCAGCGGTTAGTTTTGCCCAACGACGAATGCAGGTGGCACAAGTTGGATGTACTACGATTCCGGTTCCACCCTTGCTTCCTGATACCGATCGATGCCCCAATGATAAATGGAGACGACAGCGTACAGGTCTGGACGGTTGATGCGAGCCAAGGCGGCGTCATTGCCACATCGAAATCCGGCATTGCATGGGTGGAGCTCTACACTGAAGGAGACGACATTTGTCGCCACTGGAAAGAGTTTCCCGAGTTGGAGAACCAGTACCCTCGACAGGTGACACTGGATGAAGGTGCTCTCCGCTCGATGCTGCCCGCCGACAAGCAAAAGTCTCGCTTGAAAGTTGAAGTGTATTCTGCGGGTGGAGGCAAGCACGTCATTGAAGACTTTGGTAAACTCGCCAACCAGAAGCTGGCTAGAGTCAAGTTGCCAGACGGCCGCTGGGGCTACCGCGGCAGCAAGCTAGGCTACTCGCAAATGGAGGGCTCAAAGCCCGAAGAAGTCATCTTTGACTACGTCCACATCCAAACCAAACTCTTGCTCCGCATAAAAGTCTACCACGGCTACGCAGTCGACGGTCTAGAATTCATCTACGAAGACACAGACACGCAGCTCTTTGGCAAGCGCGGAGGCAGCGTCTCAGAGTTTGCTCTCGATACCCGCAAGGGCGAGCTCCTACTTGGCTTTGCACTCCGTGCTGGCCTTTGGATCGACGGCCTGCAGATTCTCACTAGCCTGGGCCGCAAGAGCGAGTGGTATGGGAATCCCAATGGCGGTAGTGGGTACGTATTTCCCTCTCTTTTCCCAATTGCTAACACTGTATTCTGGTAACAGCTTGGCTAATATGCGGATTAGACACACGCTTATTCCCCCGCGTGGATATACTATTGGTGGTATCTCAGGGTCCTGTGCTCAGTGGCTCGATGGCTTTTCCCTCATCATCACAAGGTGATGCAAGTTACAGCTACTTACCCTTTGACCTACTTTGCTTCCTTGTTTCCTCTCCCTCTCTCTCTCTTGCTCTCTACCTCTACCTCCCCTTTTTTTCCCGATTGTTTCTCATGATACCACTGCGCGTCACATTGAAACTTGAACTCGTTGGCCTTTTCTTCTCTCCGTCCTTCTCATACTGCAAATTGAAAGTTATTTTCTCGGGTCTTTAGACAGGTAACATGGGTTTTCTCCTACGTGTTGGTAATACCATACATATGCGCATACATATATGAAGGTGGCTTTCGGTTTGTTGTTGGTGTTTCTGGAGTTTGTGCTTTTCTGGGTACTTGAACGTACAGATATGAGTTGTATGCTTGTGCGTTGCGTGTTCCGTTTTGTTCTGCTCTCACGATCCAGCTAGCTTTGCATGTATATATTCCTGATAAGAGGGTATCATGATGTTTCTATACGCTCATCTGCCAATCCATCATAGCATCAACATAGTGTCTCCGCTCATTCATGCATCAACCCTCAATAGCAAACGTAAACCTTCCCTGTCCCTCTCTTCCCTGATATCTGTATCCATCTGAATCCCAGCCATTGAATCTCAACCACAGCAACAACAATGATGCCGACAACTGACAATAGTCTTGCCCGTCGCCATCGTTCCCCTAAGGAAAGAGGGAAAAGAAACCCACAAAAGATATTTTGTACACAAACACACGAGTGCTCCTTAGGGCTTAGGAATCTTGACGCTCTTGCTAACCATCAAACATCCATGAAGAATGAACATGGCCACCACAGGGTGAAACTCCAGCGCCGTGCCCTCGAGCCACAACCCCATGGGAATCTGATCCATAGTCCAGCCCTTGTAGACCCAGTACGCCATGACCTGCACTATGCCAAGACTCATAGGAATCGGTGTGCCCTCGAAATACTTGCTCTTTCCGCTTGCATCCTTGGGCACCATGGCGACGGTAACGTTGAATCTGGCGAGGCGCGTGAGGCCGCAGAGGACGAAGAAGGCGAGCAACAAATGGTCGACGGGGGTGCGCATGCCGAGGCTGAAAGCGGCGGCGGCTGGGGACACGCCAAAGGAGATGAGATCGGCAAGTGAATCGAGCTCCTGGCCCATAAGCGATGCCTTCTTGCGCCAGCGCGCAACTTTGCCGTCCATGAAGTCAAAGAAGAGACCTAGTGGGATGAAGGACAGAGCGAGGTACAGGTTCGTGTAGTCGGTGTGGTCGACTTGTGTGCAGTAGCGGAGAGAAGAGAAGATGGACATGACACCGC